TTAGATATCCGAGTTAATTTAAAATATTTTTTAATAAAAAATAACGATTTAGAGTGTTAATTGTGATTTCCAGGTACAACAAATCAGTTTTACTCCGATGCTGAGCCACGGTTTACGTTATCAAGGCTCGGAGGGCAGGTCCTGGAAATAGGCAACTGTCGTTATTACAGGAATAATCGAAGCAGTGGTGTCAAAGCAGCTTGGTTTTGTAGTAAAAGACGTTTAGGTTGTCGGGCGTCACTGATAGTAGCCGGTACTACTATTATTGCTGTCAGAAACTCTCATTCCCATGATATTTAGGACCCTTGGATGTGCTGTGGTTTGTGACGAACAAAAATAATTTAAGGTGATTGTCATTTAGTATATTATGGTTAATAAAAGCTATTAATTTTTTACTTAATACTTTCATCACCATCATCATCATTAGCCTATCGTAGTCCACTGCTGGACATAGGCCAATTGCACGCCACTTAGATCGATTTTGGGCTTCTCGCATCCAGCTCCGGTCAGCTATCTTGCGCAAATCGTCACTCCACTTGGCCCTTGGGCGTCCTACACGACGTTTGCCGAGACGCGGCTAATAATACTTAATAGCATTAATTTCTGTGTCATCTAAATAAATTAATATTCTAATAAATATAAGACTTTAAAATTAATATGTATGTCATAAATACAATCATAAGATTACCAAATCTTTTTATGATGAATAGGTATATAAAGCACTGTAAACCGATTAAATCTTACTGTGTTCATCATCCATCAACATCAAGTATGCCAAAGCATTCGACTGTGATCATACTAATACTATCAGTATATTAGTAGTGATATCAGATTTATGTTATCAGTACTATGGGTACTATAACGAAAAAGCAGTATGGAGAATCCATTTATTATATCGATTGTGATCAAAATTTACAATTATAGACTTGTATTTTGTAGGATTTGTCAAAAGTAGCGAAGAACACTCGCTTATCTCTATTTCAGAACCGACATATTCGAGCTCCGTTGGTGACCTAAAATAACTGCTATCTAGCTGTCGAATGCCATATAATATTTGAATGTTATTTCTACGTAGGTTGGTCTTTGTGTAGTCGCTCTGTACTGTCGATAAAAATAGCATAAGTAAGTTGACGGTGATTTTTGGAAGAAAACTGAAAGCTTATTTCATGGACCGACATTCCAAACATACAAACAAACACACAAGTGAAGCTAATATAAAGCGTGTAAAACAATTGACTTGTTAATAACTTAATATAGTTGTACCACTGTACTCGTATTAAGTTATTAACAAGTCAAATTACCCGTTTTGTGTAATTTCAGCAGTAATATTTACAACTACTCGCACGGGCAGGCCCGTTCTCATCATAGGCCACTACAGATACTACAAGAATAATAAAAGTCGAGGTCCGAAGGCAACATGGTTCTGCATACGAAACGGCAAACGATGGGAAACAAGTCCTGGATGCAAAGCGTCGGTTACAACTGTCGACGAAACAATTATCAGCCTTAATCACGAACACAATCATTATTGAGTAGTATGAAAAGCCTAAATAGTTAAAATTAAAATCTATGTACATAAATGACAATCCGTTTTAATTTTATGTTTAAACTATGTTTTTTTAACCTTGTACGAGTAAGTTTATTAATGTAAGTCAAATCTTACAATACTTGCTGTTATATATGTTGCTTTAGTTTAAAGATATTTATCTTATGGTGAGTAAGATCTGGCTTCTGCGCTAGGATAGGATCGGCTCCAATGAAAGAAATACTCAATACTCAATACTTTATTGCTGCCATAATGTAAATTTTACAGTTGGTAAAAACTTAAGCTAGGTATCAATTATGGACCCTGTCGGGCACAGCATAGAAGAGAGAGAGAGAGGGGAATGATTATTACTATATTTATTTATAATATATTATTTATATATATTTAATCTGTATAGCCATTATTTTATTTTTATAAATATTTAGTAATTATTTATTGCACTAAGTTTGTACTATTTGTTATAAAGGTTATTAGTATTATTGTGATTTATTTTGTTAATTGTTGCAATTGGTTTTGGTCAGGCTTGACTATGGTCTTGTAATGTTTTTTTTTCTGAAACAAGTAGGTGGTATAATGTTTTATAATGTTGTTAAATGCATTGTCACAAATTGTTTATTTCATCCATATATTCTTTTACACTGTAATAGCTTAAAAATAGCTGGAAAAGCTTTAACTTATTAATGAGAATGTTATTTTTTTCTTCTTTCTTAATCGTTTCTGGTAGTTTATTATAATTTTTGATAGACATAACTAAGGGGCTTGTAGAATGCATAGTTAGTTGGGAAGTTGGGAGGTTAAGTCTATTTTTATGTCTTAGTATGAATTTGATTTTTTTGTCTTCTCTTTTACTATAGTATTCCGGGTGTTTTGGAACAAATTTACTCATTTCCAGAATGTAAATACATGGAAGAGTTAGGATTTTGAGGTTCTGGAAATAGGGTTTGTAGGACTCTGTTTCTTTTATATTAGTCAGAATTCTGATTAATTTTTTTGTAGGGTAAAGGTAGTATGTGCCTCTGAACTATTTCCCCAAAGGATTATGCCATAGCTGAAGCAAGAATAAGCGTATGCGTAGTATGTGACAACAGCAGTAGAAAGGTCTGTCGTCTTTTTAATTTCGCGTAAAGCGTATGAAAATGTTGCTATTTTTGATCGATTTTTTTTTATGTGAGCTTACCAGGTAATATGAGTATCTATAATTATGCCCAACAAGTTAAATTCCTTAACGACTTGCAGCTGAAGCCCTTCAAAGTTAAAGTTTATATTTAATGGTTTCTTTTGGTATGGATGGAAAGGTAAGTTGTGTGTCTAAATTGTGTTCTGTCATCCAAACTATTGTCTTACTGAGTATTGAGTTTACGTTGTCATTAATATTTGCGTGGGCGTTAGAAGAAACTAATATGGAGATATCGTCTGCGAACATGACACATGGTTCCTTTATGTACTTTGGTAGGTCGTTGATATAGATAAGGAATAGCAAGCACCCTATCACACTGCCCTGAGGAATTGAGGCGTTTATGTCTATATAACTTGAATGAATTCTTTCTATTTCTTTTTTATTTTGGTTAAGGTATTCTAACTCTACCAGCTGTTGTCGATCTGTTAAGTATGAGGTGAGCTAGTCATGAGCTTTTCCACGTATACCTATATTGTATAATTTATTTAGTAAGATTTTGAACTGCACCTTGTCATAGGCCTTGGTCATGTCAAGTAAAATACCTATAGCATATTGTTTTTTGTTTATAGTTTTGAGGGCTTCTTGGATATATCTATAGACAGCCAATGTTGTTGACTAATTTTTACGAAAGCCGTTTTGGCATTCGTCAAGTATATTATCTTTTTCACAGAATGAATATATTCTATTGGTCATGGTCTTTTCAAAAATCTTTTTTCTATTTTTCCCAATCATGTGTAAATCTTCTATATAGCCAAATATAATTATTTGCATAGTCTTTTCGAAAGAGTCAATTATTCTGGCGTGTAAGTTGTATTCAGACTCGTCGTAATATTCGGTAAAGCCGTACAATACTATTTTCTTAGCGTTGGTTTCTTCGGTGTATGGCGTTTTGGGATAAAGACATGTGGTTGATAGGTCCTTTATTTCAGTTTGTAACTTTTCATTCTCGAGTTTCAGTTTACTTATCTCTAAACTAATTTATTTTATATCGTGTTTCGTTTGTTCGTATTGGTTTGATGAAGCGTTTGTTTTTTGTTCTACTTCGTCTTTTAATTGGGTGATGGCTTTTATATTTCGGTCTGTATTGTGTTTTGTAGCTCTGTTATTAGTAGTATGTTGTTGTCCCTTAGGCGTTCTATTATAAGTTCATTTAAGTTTTTCAATATTACTTTTTATAGTACTTTTTCAATATTCCTTAGTACACACATAAAACTTGTATTCAGATTGAGTTACGAGTCTGCTGTCCCCAAGATTGGCTTCAGATTAGGATCTTCTCAATGTTCAATCACACATTCAGTCAAAATTAAAATTAAAAGTACCAAAGTCGGCACGAGATTATATTATCTTTAAAGTGGGTATTTACTATAATGTGGAGCGACTTATATACGATAATTATATTATCGATTAATACATTTTTTCCAATACAATTTTTGCATTATTATTAAGATTTATTGAAACATAAGTCTTGCCTTAAAGAACCCTCCTACAAGGTGGATATATAGTTAACGGTCTTCCTAACGGTCCTTATATATAGTTAACGGTCATCTCTTACCAAACGCCAAAAATCATCACCTTTTTTTGCCTATCTCAATTTTATTTTTGGATAATGTTAAACAAGTTTATTGCCCAGTCTCTTGGGATTGTTTTCAACGGTATTGTGACTTCATGCACAACAACATGTATAACGGCAAATGCATTTACTTTATTTTGTCGATCGTAAAAGTCTAACTCAGAGAAAGTTATTTATTAAGCTAAGTTATATAATACCTAAGCGCATATATGTAATATTTGGACACCTGTTCTAAATCATTGTTTCTTTTTAGGGCCTATTTTTACGATGACACGATTTGGTAAACCAGCTATACAAATGGGAAAATATCGCTTTAATCGCAATAACAGAAGCAATGGACCGAGGTGTTTGTGGGTATGCAGCAGAGTCAGTACTGGATGTCGGGCTACTATCATTACTTTCAATGACGTCATAATCAGGGAAAAAGTAGTTCATAATCATTAAATTTGAATGGAAATTGGAATCAATTTCAGTATCTACTAACCGAACTATTGTTTGTATTTGCGATAATTCTAGAAGTGTGAGTTATAAAAATATTTTAAGAGTGTAACGGTTCATTTATTATCATTAAAATACATTTTTATGTGCGAGTATAAATATTTTTTATTTAAAAAAATACTAGTAATGTGGGTCATAAATTACTAGTATTATTGTTAACCAATTCAACTAATTTAAATGCTTGTGTTAGAAGTGGGTTTACCGCGGCAATGCACTTATCGCAAGGCCGAACGTCGACAGCGCCTTTTGCCATTAAGCTAGCGCACGTCGCGGCGTCGCCGCGTCGCTTAGACTATGTAACAGCGAATAATACCATAAGGATATTCTCTGGTACAAAAGTAATGTTTTTAATGGTAATTTTTGTCAAATTAATGTTACGATATTGACAATAAAGGAAGAGGATAATTAATATTATATTATTTTCTGAGATTAAAAGCTCGTCATTTCGGTCTTTTAGCGTATTTTATAAAAGTTAATTCGTAACAATTTTCATATAGTTTTATTTATTTCATGACTTAATTCTGGTATTTTTTCTTTAATTCGCTCTAAAGAGGAGATTCTCATTCTAGCTGTTTTTTATAAGGGATAGACATGCATCAATATGTGCCTAGTCCGTAGAACATTAAAACAAATATTAGATTAAAATGGTATAGTCACAATTTACCTATATTAATAATTACATGTATTTTACGGTCTTATGATTTGCTGGATTGGTGTTTTATTTTATAGGTATACGTAGGTATTTATTCGTTTTATAATATGTGTATGTTTCCATCTAACAAGCAATATTTTTCAGGCCCAGTTATTACTCACACGAAAAGGGGAACTCCACTTCTTCAGGCTGATGGCTACAGGTACAATTGTAAGCGAAAACTGAACGCCAGGACCTACTGGGTCTGCAACAAGGCACCTCAAGGATGCCGAGTCTCCATAGTCACTTATGACGACGTCATCATCAAGGTGAAGAATGAACATAACCATCCGTAAATTGAATTTAAAAAGATGGTAGTCTATCGATGAGTGTGAAATGTATATAAACAAAATTCGCCGGTTCCTAATTGTATTGCCCTTGAATCTATCCAAGAAACTTTGCTACATTGACACTGCCGATTCCCTGTGCAAATAAAGGCGTGCCGTTTGTCAGTTGCTTAGAAAATATGTGTATGAAAAGAAGGAGCACTAGTACTCTAACTGGGTCACCGTAATTAGTTAGATAGATCTCTGTAAAATGTAGTTATTTAAAGAAACAAACTAAAAGTTAAGGTAATTTATTATAGAAACGAATACACAAAGCTAAAGAGCTAATAATCTACTACAGTTGTAATCAAATAATGTTTACCAGCAGGTTTAATACTTTAGCACTTCAGAATATTATTTGTAAATACTCTTTATTGCACACCAGGATTATATAATAGGGTATGAGAAAATCATTATTTGTAAGGTATATATACATACCGGTACAATTCTGTCTTGTCATCAACCGATATCTCTTAAAAAAATAAAACCGTATATGCTGTATAGTATATATATATATATATAGATATAGTAGGCCAAAACCTCCTTTTTAAGGAGAGGCCTATGTCCAGCAGTGGACTGTTAAAGGTTGTTGATGAAATAACTGTAAGCTTACATTCATTCTGTTGGAATAGAAGTATGTTTCAAAATATTATATTTCTAAATCCTCCACCGGCAGTAGTCTTATGAGAAAGGTTGTTGTAGTGCGTGAGATGAGACCCGCTAGCGATGTGCCTACATCCAGGCTTTTTGCTGAAAAAAACTGACTGGAACACATGCATACATATTATTCTATTAATATTTCCTGTTTCGATTTCAAATGTTTAATCAAATGTTAATGTCTTTCTAGAAGACAAAAATTGATCTCATAATTAAAAAAACGATATCGAATCACAGTTTTGGTTTAGTAGAATAATATTAATGTGAGTAATTTAAATGTAGATGTGTTGTGTAGATCAATAATATCAGTGTATGCACACCGTCCGACATTTGGCAAATCTCACAAACTTTCAAACACATTAAACAGGTGGCATATGGTAAATAGAGATAATTAAGATTAATGTAGTTACTAGATGTAAATATAATTTATAAAAATATATTCTTTACCCTTTACGCCTAATAACATTTTACATATATTTAAATTTCTTCAAACTCTGTCATTCAAAAAAATAGGAAGTAATATTTTGCAAATTTTAATTGTAATGTTAATTAATATTTAATTACATACTTGTCCAAATAAAATCATTATATCACTTCAAATACTTCTTCATTGGTGTGTTAAAGTATTTTCGAGTATTGCCACTATTGAATACATTGTGCCGAAACCGAACTACTAATATTTAAGGGGATGTATGAAATCATTAAGTGGAGCACTATCTTTTACTACTGGTCAAACTGGATTGCATGTAGTATCATCATGTATCGGACTGAAGGATGAATTATAGATTTATGTAAGTTTCTAGGTTAATAAGCTGTGTACATTTCTCTCATAAAATTATCATAAGGGTAATTTAACATTTTAACTGTTGTTTTCAGCAATTTTCTCCACTACGCTTAAAGGACGACCACGTCTACAAATTGGTACCTGTAGATTCAACTTTAAAAATGGAACTGGGGAAAGACTGTATTGGAGTTGCAACCAGGCTCCTCATGGGTGCCGAGTATCAGTTGTGACAAATGGTGACACAGTCTGTTTGATAAGAAACGAACACAATCACTAGTGCAATTAAATCCAGTTATTTAAATTAATGGGTAAAAGGGTAAAATGGGACCCTTTTTTATTACTAATACTCCGCTGTCCGTCCGTCCGTCGTCACCAGACCCTCATGAACCGTGATAGTTCGACAGTTGAAATTTTCATAGATGATGTAGTTCTGTTTGGTCTGCCTCGCCTCGCGCACCCCTCGTGCGCGAGGCAGACCGTACCGGTATCTATAAAAACGGCAAAACAGACGCACTTGGGCGGTTTTTTTCTGTACAAGTGGATTTCTTTCATTATTTATATGAGTAGAATACGGAATAAGGAAGAAGGAAGGTTGACTGGAAGACAATGCCATGGGCATTAAGTCCGCCGATGTATAGAAGTGCATAAAGTTAAAGAAATAAATAAATACCACTACACGTTTTCACCTTCATTTATTAAATATTCCGATTTATTACGAACCAAAAATAGAAACATGATTCTGACTATCAAAATAAGTCAAATTTCAATTTAAAAAAAAATACAATTTAATTCACTGGTCTTAAGGTAAGTGCTATCTCTCAAGTGAATTAGTGTCAAGTTTACCTACACAAGGAAGACAAGGTACTTTTTTGACATCGTGTTTAGAATATAGATGTCTTGTCACTATATTAGTGCGCACTCACTCAATCAGAGGCCAATCGAACTATGCTGGAAATACGTAAGCCATCGGCTGATCCTTTTGGCGCATATATTTAAGTCATGCCTTAATCATAACATATTTCATTGGTCTGGCGTCCTTCAATGGTTAAGGTTTTTATGTGCTGATATTTCAGCTACTGCGATAAGCGAACAATTTAAGAACCAGCCAGGAACGTTACCTATACCTACAGCTGTTGCCTAAAAAATCCTTTCTAAAAAAGTTGAACCGACTTCAAACAATACTAACAAAGACCAACTAAACACACTGCTCCAATGAGACAGCAAGGTTTCGTAAACAAAAATGTCATCGATGTATACAATTTTTAGTTTATTTTTTAATTTAAAAAAAATCTTGACCGATTTCAATAAAATTAAATTTAAATGGGACCACCTGGGAAGTATACCCTTTAAAACAAAAAAATAATTTTCCAAATCGCTTCAGGCGTCTTCGAGTAATCAGTGAACATGCATTTAAAAAAGATTACACATTGTGTATGTATATTCGAATGAAACCAATCGCAGCATATCAGGCACAAAAACTAAATTAACTTAGCTTAATCAACGTTACTCATCACAAATACGTGATTTATTGAAATTACTGTAGGAATTACGTCTATTATTTTACTTATAACTTATAATTGAATCATTAGAATATTAAGCATCAGCCCATACATTTAAAACAAAAGGTCAACTTTAGTAGACAACGTATACTATAAAATGTACATACGTTTGTAGCGAAATGGACAAATACTCAACAAAATATTGTTACTAATAATATTTGTATTCAACAGTGGCAGCGCCTACGTTTACAAACACTAGACACGGAACATTGTTACTAAATATGAACAACAATAAATACAACCTTAAGCGAGCAGCCGGTGAACGAAGATATTGGATCTGCAACAAAGCCTGGCGAGGTTGTAAAGCTTCCGTCATCACTTTTGGATGTGTCGTTTTAAAAACAAACAATTTTCATATTCATTCTTAAAAACAAGTTAATTATTGAGCCTAGATTTCTAGTCCATAAAACATTTAGTACTATGTATTTAAAGAAAAATAAATGTAAATAAAGTTCTTCAAATCCTAAAGGGTTTCCGTAAGTAATTTTTTTATTACTGATATCGTGATAAAAGTAGGATGTTTTTTTATTTTTATTTTTAATACATATTTATTTATCTTTTCAACAGGAGCGATGGTTTTCTCGCAGACGGTACATGGAAAGCCAGTCTTAAATATAAACCACTACAGATTTAATTTCAAACACATGGTTGGCAACCGCACATACTGGCAGTGCAATAAGGCGTGGAAGGGCTGTCGTGTTTCTATTACAACGTACAAAAAAACTGTCGTTAATATTAAAAATTTGCATAATCATCCGTAATAAGTCGGAAATCCCTTAATAGCTACATATACTTTCTTCATATATTTAAAAATCTATAATACCTAAAATCTATAATATATTTTAGAATCGATAAGAAGGTAGCTATTTACTTCTGTCTAAAAATTAAATGGTTTTACATAGTATATGAGATGTTTTCAATGAAATTAATATAACCCGGCCACACACACATTGGTAATTTAAAAAATATGTTTTTAATATAATTTTGAAGTTTTCAACTCTAAAATACTGAGTCAAAACTTTATCAATTATTAATGTTTCACCTGCGCCGCTAGTTAAAACTAAAATAATACTAGTAAGCTACAAATCATATTATCTGACTTTGTGATTTGTATGTATTTGAGTTCTAAACGTGTAATAACTTTTCTGCTAAAACATTAAATTTAGCATAAAATTCAGCAAGGACTGTCGTCCAGAAATATATGTTTATTGTTAAATTTAGAATTTAAAGTAGAATAATTTATAAAACTACGTTTTCTTTCAATCATTGACATATAAATGAAAACACAGCCTGCACGCTTGACTGAAATCATTTTATTTTCTAGCCATATCCTCTTTCACGCAGTCCATCCATCTTTTCTTTGGTCACCTCTAGTGTTATTATTTTTTTTTTATTTAAGGAAAACCAACAGCTATGAGTCACAACTTTAGGCAAAACAATAGGTAATAGAAAGCCAATTTCAGGTTTTCACGAGTAAGAACATCGATAATGCGATGTAACTTAAGAACACTCAAGACACGAACTTGGTATACAAATATAATTAGTACGGTTCGTTTCAGTAAGCTAATCTCCAAAGAAATTGTGATTTAGCACTTTAGTGGGCGTGTCACTTTTTATGGTGTAAGGATCCAAATCGTATTCTTTGCATAATATGTTGAAATCTCTACTTGGTCGCACCATATCAGAATTCTTTCTGTAATTTGAAGATGATGGGGGCATTGAAATTGGAGAGCTATGCCTAACATATCTGGAAGGTACGTTAAATTTAAGCTTGTGTAATAGTTCTGGGTAGTCAATTTTGTTAGAAATTATTTTGGCTAATAATGTACAATCAGCTAACCGACGACGGTAAGTTAAAGGCTGAATATGAAATTTCTTGCACATTTGTATATAACTTTCAGAAGTGTAGGGTATTAGAAGGCGATTACATAAAAATCTTATAAACCGTTTTTGGACATTTACAATGCGGCTTATATATGCGGAGGGATGAGGAAAATGTGGCGAAGAAAGTTTTAGGTATGAGAGTTGAAGGGTACAAGAGAAGAGGCAGACCGAAGAAGAGGTGGATGGACTGCGTCAGTGAGGATATGGCTAGGAAGGCAGTAAACAGTGAGATGACGAATGACAGAGTAGAATGGAAAAATCATACATACTGCGCCGACCCCAAATAAAATTGGGAAAAGGGTAGGCAGATGATGACAATGCGGCTTATGTATTTGTCACAGCAAGGGTTCCATATTTGCGAAGCATATTCGAGATGGCTCCTGACATAAGTACAGTGCAAGATCTTCAGCGTTTTAGCTTTTTTGAAGCATCTGGAGAGCCTCATCATGAAATCAAGAGCCTTAGAAGCCTTTGCGACAATCTCATCGACATGGACATTAAAAAGAAGTTTGGAGTCATGGTGGACGCCTAAATCACGGTCAGTGTGACGTTTTCTACTGTAAGAAACTAAATTACATTTGAGTGGGTTTAGGTCTAGTTTGTTACGTTGGCAGTATTCATCCAAACGCGTCAAGTCTTGTTGCAGAACCTTTACGTCCTCTAAATGTGATACTGATGAGAAAATCTTCATGTCATACGCAAAACAGAGTAGATAGGAGGATTGGAAGCAAAAGTCAATGTCGTTCACATAGATTATGAAGAGTAGTGGTTCGAGCAGTGAGCCTTGCGGTACCCCGCTGGGCACGGAAACCCAAATAGAAATATAATTGCTAATGACTACTGCTTGAGACCTATTACCGAGATATGAGGAAAACCACCTAAGCAAATCGCCCATTATTCCAATGTTAAAAAGTTTAGATTTCAGGATGCTGTGCTCTATACGATCAAAACATTTACTGTAGTCTGTGTAGACGACATCGACCTGCGCTCCCCTGTCCATGTTACTCGTTATATCCGTCAACTTCCATGCATATAACTTTCTTCACTCCCTTTTTCTTACATATGTTCATACCTAGATAACCTGTTGCTTCTCAACATATGATCCACTGGTGTAATACCAGTGGATTATATGTTGATAAGCTTCGGTCAGTCATTCCTCTTTTTGTCCATACCACACATCCATCTTAACAATCGCAATTGAACTATGTGCCGTCGTCGACCAACACTCAGATCCATGTAGGACGGCAGGTCTGACAATCGTTTTGTATATTTGTCCTTTTAATTTAGTAAGAAACTTGGGATCGCATATTGTCCCTGTGAAATCAGGTGTTGTTAATGGCAAATGTCAAAATGGTAAAAAATGTAAGTAATAAAATTGCATGATCCAAACATCCACTATAAGTATATACTCGTAAAAATGTATAGTGATGATGTGCATGAAAATATACAATTAGTTTAAAAAGATATAAATTGGAGATTCACCTGTAATTTTTTTTAAGAACCCTTTTTATTATTTCTCAGGTCCCTTTAATATATATAGCGGACTTGGTTCAAAACACTTTGAACACGAGGGATACATCTACACAAAAAATTGTGAATCAAAATTAAGGATTTGGTGGGTTTGTAAAAATAGAAGGTCGAAGAAATGTAAAGCTTCAGCTGTAACGATAGGAGATCTCGTTGTTAAATTGTGTGGAAAACATACACATTCCTCGTGGGAATTGTAAATTAATACTTTGTTTAAAGATAAGATTTCACTTGAATAGATACATGGCAGTAATTTATTA